ACTGCTAGTACTACCACTACCACTGCCACGACTAGTGCCCGCACCACTACCACCACGACTACCACGACGACGACGACAACTACGACTGTTACTCGCAGTAGGAGGACGACGGCATGGGTCAGTCTCCACATTGTCCCTATGTTGTGTAGTTTTAAGCAGATTTTAGCACATCACCCGCAAAGATGTAGGAAACCCTGCACCGGAAAACCCTGCTCCCCTAGACCCTACACCCTAAACCCCTAAACCCTAAACCCCTAAGCCCTAACCCCTCAACCCCTAAACCCTAAGCCCTAAAGTCAGACTTATCAGAAGCCGCCCGAACGCCAGCCAGGCCGGGGTCCGGCGGAGAGCCTATGCAACGAGGCCCGGCTGTTGCTAGAAACTCCCATGTCCCGTCATCAGTTCTCGTAGGTTGCCATTAGGGTTCAGGGTTTAGGGTTCAGGGCTTTGGGTTTAGGGTTGAGGGTTTAGGGTTTAGGGTTACAGATCTGGAATATGGAGCTCTTCGCGCAAGGATCTTGAATTCTGCTACTCTATTGCACCCTGTGTAGTGCTTTGCTGTTGCACTCTTGACGCAGGGCCCCCATGTGGGTCTGCGGATTGTTTGAGGTTTCTGGTGCCCGCGAGCCGACACGTGGAATCTGTGGGTTTTCTGCTCCTACATGAAAGTCAACGTGTGATGACAGGGGTTCAGGGCTCAGGGCCTAAATGCCTAAACTCTCCTGAACCCCTAGCCCTCATTGTAGTACCCGTCTATACAAACCCTAAACCCTAAACCCCTAAACCCTAAACCCCTAAACCCTAATATAGAATCCCTTATAGTGCGCCCAGTAGAACCCTTCCCAATACTTAGACTTAGAAACTCGGAGCTCTGGGCTTCGCAGCGTCCCAACCCCTAATGTAGGGGCCTACGGTTTAGGGTTTAGGGTTTAGGATTTAAGAATTACCAATTCTATTTTGGGGGCTCCTTCTTATAATTATAGTATGATGGGCCCCAAAACGCTATTCTCATATTATTCAGGCCCCCATCTTAAGCCCTGAACCTCAAACATGCCCTCGAGAGTTTCACTGTCTTAGGTGTGTGCTGGCAAAACCCTAAAAAAAACAATATACATCCCTATACCATATAAAGGCCCTATAAACCCTAAACTTTAAACCCTAACCCCGAAGCCCTAAAGCCCTAAACCCTACACCCCAAATCCAAAAAAACAACACCCTAAGCCCTCAACACCAAACCCTGAACCCTAAACCCCAAAACCCTTAACCCTAAACCCTAAATCCCAAAACCCTGATCCCCAAACTCCAAACCCTAAATCCCAAAACCCTGAACCCTAAAACACCCCCTACACCCAAAAGCTCCTGAGCCTCAGGTGGACCGTGTGCTGAAGAGGCGCCTTGAGTCGGCCTGGCTCCAGCCTCTCTCCTGCAGTTGGGGCTTAGGGTTTAGGGTTTAGGGTTCGGGGAGGTTGTAGTAGGATATGCCTATCATTCCTCCTGGTGCCGATGATCCTAGAGGGAGTTCTTGCCTACTTGCTTGCTTGCTTGCTCGCTTGCTTACTTACTTGTATACTACAATGTAGCAGTCGCAGGTCCATCAGGCTCAGCTGGCACATTTCGTTGGATTCAGTCGATCGTTTGGTACTGTTTTGGATGGGAGATGCTGGTTATTCAGCCGCGGCGATACCATCCAACATGGACGCATATTCTGCTGGCTCACTGACGTCAGGCTTTCGTGCCACATCATCGATGATGATGATGATGATCATCATCATCATCATCATCGTTATCTTCGCTTTTCACCGGTCCGTTTGTTTCCACATGCTCTCTTTGCCACATGTGCGCAATCCCAGTCCAAAGCTGCCTCTTCCTCGCCATATCAAGCGGCTAAGCCAGCAGCTGCTGCAGTGCTTTCTGGTTTAGACTGCCCTGCCAGTAAGGATCACGCACTCTGCGCCGGAGTTGCGGCTGGAGGCCGGCTCTAACTCCAGTTGTTGAACTCATGGCTCAATTGCAAGACTGTGTCGGCAATGACACTGTCTAGTGGGACCTTAGTGATGATGGCACGTTCCCGCAGTGATGTTTATCACAATTCTGACTACTACGTAAGGGTGTTGCTTGCACGAGCCTTGCTAACAAAGCTCGAAGGTTTTCCAGCTGCTACGCATGCCAATGATGTGAATGGCTATCACGTCCATATTGCCCGGCAATTTCATTAGTGTTACTGTTGTTATTTCTGTTATTTCTCATTGCAGTCACAGATACCAACACCGGGATCGTGATGACAAGTTCGACATTTTTGCCGAGTTCATCGCAATCTTTGTATCTCTGTTGCATCTCGTTCATCATCAGCAGCAGCAATCGCCAAAACGCAACGTCAGATTGAGGTTGCTGCACACTTCGTTGTCTTTCGGATACCTTTTTAACTTCGTAGTTCATGTTTCACCGGATCCCGCACAAGCCCGTACACCCTGAAGCCTGCCCGCTCAATGCCAGGAGCCTTTCGAAGTTCAAGGTGAAAGGCCTAAACCCTAAACCCTAAACCCGAAACTCTAACTCTAAACCCTAAACCCTAAACCCTAAACCCGAAACCCTAAACCCTAGAACATCCTGAGCCCTATGGAACCCTGGCAGGGACCCTAAGTCAGAACGGCCCAGAGGTCTTGCACGCCTCTTTGCCGCAAGTCGGGCCGCAAGCTCTCCCACAGGAGCGGCTGCGTTTGGGTGTAAAGGTTTGGGGGCCTTTTCGAGTTCTTATAGGTTTAGCACTTAGGTTCTTACAATAGAGGTGCTATAGGGCTATAGGGTTTCGATCGGGGGTTTTCAAGTTTTGCGATTCAGGGATTGAAGGTTCGGGGGTTTCGGATTTACCTCCAGGCGTTTTTGGAGTTTGAGGGTGGGCTAAGTCAGATAGACTTTGGGCTTGTCATTCCAAACCTTCAGCCCTCAACTCCACAAATCTAAATCTTGCGTCAGGGTCGGCATCGGAACTGCTTGAAGCACATATCGTTCAGGTGCAAATGGCATTTGATAGTTACGGCAATTGCGGCTGCGAATGCAGGCTGCAAAAGTATAAGAAACATACTGCATCGGGAATATCAGATTGGCGGGATGTTTACAAGTGTCACCACCACACCACCACCATCATCATCATCCTCATCGTCACCGTCATCGTCGTCGCCATCATCACCAGCATCATCATCATTATACTATAATCATCCTAACCATCATCATCATCATCATCATCCTCTTCTTTCCCATCATCATCCTTAGCATCATGCTCACCATCATCACAAATATCATCGCCATCGTCATCACCACCACCACCACCACCATTATCATCGTCATCATCATCATCATCATCGTTGTTGCCATCATCATCATGATCCTCCTCCTCCTCCTCCTCCTCATCATCATCATCATCATCATCATTGGCCATGATCATATCATCATCACCACCACCATCATCATCTTCATAAACATCATCAGCATAAGAGCCATGTTTCCACTACGATCAGTCTGATCACAACCGGGACGACGAAGTATATCAGTAAAACTGGGGGAGCGGTCCAGCTTCGCCAACCTCCGTTTCACTTGCGAGGGTCTCTCCGTCAAACGGGTCTCAAGGACACACGCGCAAGCTCTAATGAGAAGCTCGAACAAAGCCGAAGTGCTAAAGCCAACACCTCTAAGAAAACCCCGATCTTGAGCCTAAACCTCAGACACACCCTCAATACGACACCAAAAAACACCTTAGACCCTAAACCCTAAACCCTAAACCCTAAACCATAAACCCTAAACCGCCTAAGCCCTAAACCCTAAACCCGCTAAACCCTAAACCCTAAACCCTAAACCCTAAACCCTAAACCCTAAACCCTAAATCCGACTCGGGGTGGGACTCCAAGCTCTGCTCCAGGGCTGGCAGATCAGCTACCGAAGCCTCGGCGAGGCTGGAGCTCCAAGTTTGGCGGTGAAGGTTTCAGGTGTTTAGGGTTTAGGGTTAAGGGTTAAGGGTTTAGGTGTTTAGGGTTTAGGGAAGTTTAGGGTTTAGGGTTTAGGGTTTAGGGCTTCGGGTTTAGGGTTTAGGGTTTAGGGTTTAGGGCTTAGCGCTCAGATTTCAGGTCTAAGATTTAAGGTTCAGGGTTTAGAGTTTAAGGTTGAGGGTTGGCGGTTTAGGGGTTTGGTCCCGGGGTTTCGGACATTGTTGGGCCCTGTGGGGGGTTATGGAGAATTTCTGCGAGCATTCTACAGGGGTGTTATGGATCCTGGTAACCGGTAGCGGTTTGTTTTAGGGCGTTATGGTTTGAAGCTTGTTCAGAGGCTTGGGATTGTGGTTGAGGTTCAGCAAGGTTTGGAGGACAAGGGCTGGGTCATTGGCTTGTGGATTTCTGGCTCTAGGGTTGTCCAAGCCGACAGTGCTGCCGAAAATTTGCACACCCCCACAAGACCCGAGGTACTGCCAGGATTTGGGTAGTGTTGGAAGATGTGAGAGCCCGAGTTGGCCGTGTTTTTTGGTGCAGTAGCAAGTATGCACACAGCCAGAAAATCCAAAAGGGGCCGTCCTCAAAGAACCACATATTTGCTAGCGGCCAGTGTCTGGATCTCGCAGGACGAAACTGGCTTCGAGTACTTCGTGTACTTTGTGCGTCGCAGGTGCCGCTTACATGTACAGCCGCGAAGCTACTAGCTTAAACCTCATGCCTGTATATAGCCTGAACCTCCTGAACGGTAACCTCGAATTCCTCAGCTGCACACCCTAAACCTCCAAAGCACAGTTGCCTGTGCCCTAAGCCTCCGAGCCGCATGCCTCTTCCCCCAATCCGAAGACTCCAGACGCTCTGCACCCCAACAGAAAGCTTTTGTTTGACCATTCCTTCGGAGGCCCATGTTCGAGCTCGTGCAGCTCAACGATGGCGAGGCCTCCGGTTCAGAGTTGAAGGGTTTAGGGTTTAGGGGTTTAGGGTTTAGGGTTTAGGGTTTAGGGGTTTAGGGTTTAGGATTTCCGATTCTCCGGGTTTTGGAGTTTGGGATCCCGGCATCTTCTGCTCCAGGCTTTTCAAAGATCGCTCCTGCAGTCCGAGTCGATGAAAAAGTGGTGTAGGAGGGAGCATGCCTGAGAACCCAAAGCCCTAAACCCTAAACCCTAAACCGGCGGGGGGAGAAAGGAGTTCCACAAAGCAACCGTGTTACAGCAACGTGCCAAAGCAGCTTCGTTGGGCTTCTCTTCCCAACTGGGGGATGCCTGCAGGTATCCCAACTTGGCACCTTCGTCGACGAGTCTCAGGCGCCAGAGCGCTATGTGAATGCAAACAGCTACTCGTACATTGTGCCGGGAAACCACTAATGTGCCCTCGTCATCTTGGTAATTTTTAAATCGTCGTCATCTTGCTCTTCTGCCCCACTTGCCCTGTTTGGGAAGGGCAAGATTACCAAGATGACCAAGCCGCCCACCCTTCTCTGTCATCTTGGTCATCTAGGTCCCACCCAAGTGGACCAAGACAACCAAGATGACCAAACCGGGTAAACCGGGTCCATTTGGCAGCTGGATGCGTGTGTTTTGGCAGGAATCCAGAAACTAGCTGCTAAATAGACCCCATATGGTGTTCCAGTGTTCCTGGCCCCGGGAAGTAAATGACTTAAATCCAGAGGCATCCCCAATATTTAAATTATTTAATTCCCGGCCAGAAGTAAAAAAGAGTTTAAATGATTTAAACATATTAAATACTGGGGAAGGGTCCGGGGGGGATTCCGGAGCCCGGGAATTAAATGATTAAAAACCGGAGGCTTCCCCGATATCTAATTTTTTTAAGTCCCGGGGCCCCGGATCCCTCCCCGGGACCCACCGCCAGGATGTAAATTATGTAAATTACGTAAATTATTTACTCCCCGGCCATCATCTCCATCATCTCCATCATCTCCATCATCTCTATCATCTCCATCATCATCTTCATCATCTTCATCATCTCTATCATCTCCATCATCTCGATCATCATCTTCATCATCTTCGTCACTTTCATCATCTTCGTCATCGTCATTATCCTCATCATCTCGATCATTGTCATCATCTCTATCAGCTTCATCATCCTCGTCATCTTCATCATTTCATCATCTCTATCATCTTCATCATCTTGGTCATCTTCATCATCTCGGTCATTTTCGTCATCTCTATCATCTTCATCATCTTGGTCATCTTCATCATCGTCGTCATCTTCATCATTTCTATCATCTTCATCGTCCTTGTCATCTTCATCATATTCAGCATCTTCATCATCTCTAGCATCTTCATTATCTTCGTCATCTTCATCATCTTCGTCATCTTCATCATCTTCGTCATCTTCGTCGTCTTCATCATTTCTATCATTGTCATCATCTTCGTCATCTTCATCACTTCCGTCATCTTCATCATCTTCGTCATCTTCGTCATCTTCATCATCTTCATCATCTTCGTCATCTTCATCATCCCCGTCATCTTCATCATTTCTATTTTCTTTATTACCTTTGTCATCTTCATCATCATTATCATCTTCATCATTTTCATCTTCTCAATCATTTTCATCATCTCTATCATCTTCATCATCTCCGTCATCTTCATCATCTTCGTCATCTTCGTCATCTGCATCATCTTCGTCATCTTCGTCGTCTTCATCATTTCTATCATTGTCATCATCTTCGTCATCTTCATCACTTCCGTCATCTTCATCATCTTCGTTATCTTCATCATTTTCGTCATCTTCATCATCTTCATCATCACGATCAAATCTTCGTCAGCTTCATCGTTTTCGTCATCCCTATCATCTCTATCATCTTCATCATCTTCGTCATCTTCATCATCGCCGTCATCTTCATCATCGTCATCATCTTCATCATCTCTATCATCTTCATCATCTTCATCATTTCTATCATCTTCATCTGCCTCGTCATCTTCATCATTCTCGTCGTCCACGGACAGTTCGTCGGAGGCACTTCCATCCCTCAAGGGGAAGTCGAAGCCCTCCAAGAAAGCGGCGGGGACAGAGGGCGACAACAAACAAGGCCGACGTCGTAAGCGGCGGCCCTTTCTAGCGCGGGGCGTACCGGCTCCGATTCACCAGGGGTGGCCTAACTCCGAAGGAGAGTACTACCCGGGTTTCGTCGTAGACGACCCGCGGTACTGCCCGGCGTGCGAACAGCTCCGCCGTGGGTTTTCAAGCGCCACCAAGGCACACCGTCCAAAGGACATGCCGTGCCCGTGGGCGCCACTCGCCAAAGGGAGCTAACTTTACAGCCCCGGCGCGGAAAAGCAGGCATGTGCACACGAACGGTTCTGTTGTCCCATTGCTGCAGTATTTGTTGTCTTCGTCTTTCCGCTGAGAGAAGTTGCTGGGAAGCTTTGTTTTTCCGAAGTTGTTCACGGATTTAGCTAGTCCAGTTTCCGTGCTGTC